AGCTGTATACTATAGGGTTGAGACTGTAAGCGAAGTTACTGCAGTGGTTCTGCGGTAGTATTATGGAACCAGAATTCACAAGAATAGCAGGATAAGGGAACACAGTGACTGATTCGTAAGTTTTCGATGGGCCGATTGGACATTCACTTTTGTCCGACGACGTAGGATGACACCAACATACGCTTATCGCATGGGAATCAAAACTGCTTGGTATACGGTAGACGAATCATGACGTACTTGAACTTGCATGATCGATTTGGACAATTTGAAAATAAACATTTATATTGCATTTTGTAAACTCGTCTCATGCAGGATTTTGTTGGACGGCAAACCCTAGCTGGTTACAAGGGCGGAAACTAGAAAAATAGTATCGTGGGTGTGGGAGAATTTCTGGTCTAATACCGTGCTTTTGGACCATATAAGATCGGAGATATTGATATTTCATGCCTACAAATCGAAATCCTAGCATCAATTATCAAAAAAATTGCATTTCTCTTGGAAAATAAAAACTGGAGTTACCGCACTGCTTGAGAGGGGAAACGCGTTTTTGGTGTTATGCAAGCGTATAAAATCTAACTAACTTCTCAAAATCTTTAGCAGCTTCACTAAAACTCACATTGCTGAGCAGCCTGCATTCTCATAATTGCTTCACGAGTCCTTTCATACAGATTCGTCATTCCCAGTAGTGTCGCTTCAGTCGAAGCTGATGGCACAGGCTGTGAAGCACGAGGTGAAGTTGGTGGTGATGCCGACGAACAAACACCGGAGTCCGACTCGCACATTAGTAGCTGAACTTGTATTTTACTCCGGTTACACAGACTTTCTAATGCTCGTCTTAGTATTTTCTTTATCACAAAACAGATTATGTGGAAGATTTTTCCCACCTGCCTTTCCCTGAGGTTAGCTGCCAGCTCCTGTCGCTGTCGATCACAAAGTAGGCACAGCTCGTCGGGCACGAAATCGGTCAGATCCGAATCTGAATATGGCAAGAATGAATATGGCATCAAAACTCAAAATAACTGGAGAGCTTGAGAAAGATGTGCGATTATATGCTCTGCTCTTTTTAGATTCGCTATTTTCCTTTTGAGACACTAAGGGTGAGGTTTTACAACTAAACGCTACAATCTCGCTATTAGGTATAGCTCTTGAGAATGATTACATATATGTGTAAAATTCTAAGAGTTTCACATAGCGATCTAAAGATAGATTTAAGAGATGTATGAATAAAGTTTGGAGACATTTCGGATAGCGAGTCATAGGATTCAAGACATTTCTTCCACCGACATCTGCAAAATCTGTACTTTTTGAAAGTAGATGATAGTAGCTTTTCTTCTAAAAATCTCCTTTCAAGACTGATTTTTGCTTACTAGTGCTATGATAACAAGTGGACGTGAAGTTTACTTGTTGCTATCCCCTGCTTTCCACAGGGAATCACACCAAGCTTTGTGATCCAATATTAATTAGACGGAACCCAAGAGAAGCTTTTCTGTGCTCGCCGCACCTTCAAACAGCGCACCGATTAATAACGGATCTGTTCCAATTGAATCATGAGTACTGTACCTTTCGGCATGTCCAGATACAAGGTATCGGTAAGCACGATTCGGAAGGTGTTTAGCACAAAATCAATATAAAATAACATACCGGTTTTGTTAAGGCACAGCAGCGATTCCGGGAAAATTGTCTCCCAAGCTTCTTTGCCAGCAAAATAACAAGCAAGGTTTTCGATACCTGCAAAGGGGCAGTCATTACTAACTTTATCGAAAATCCGCTATTTCAGTAAAGCTTATGAAAAGCAACGAATTCTTATCTTTTCTGGTAAATATGAAAAAGCGCAGTACTTTCGAAAATTAGAAGTAAACAAGGAATGACTCAAAACACCCCATCCCTTGCAGTATGGCTTCACGCCTCTGTTTGAGGCTGCGCCTTCTCCGTATAATAATCATTAATTTTAATTGAGGCCCCTCGAAATCGTCCTGCTATCTTCCTGGGCCTCCATTTAATTAGCGGCAGCTCAGATAATTGCCCGAAATTGCACACAAATACACAGTTTTCGGGCCTTTAGGAGCCATCCCAAGAGCAGATATGTGATGAAACATAAAATAGAGGTGTGAGGTGAGAAATTAGGACAAATTGGGGAATTATTTGGGGATGAGGAAGTGCTAAGGTTTTGTCAGAGAAAAAAGCTGGAAATCTCGCCCAATGACGATTCCCAAGGTCTACCACAGATGCGGAGCGAATCTCTCATGCCTAGATTATTCGCCGACGAAAAACAACA